TAGACAACAATCAGACAAGAAAACAATACTCTAGTGAAAAAAACGCCGAGGAGAAAATTACACACTCCCACCAAAATTGGGAAGGCAGACCACTATATATAAAAAGACAAGAATTCCCACAATTGTTCACACTGAAGACCTTCCCTCATTGGGAGCAAGCAAACATCCAAGCTCAGAGAGCAGTAAGAAAACTATAATTCATCTTTAGGCTACTGATGGTCTTTTCTATTGGAACATGACATATGTGCTAATAAGGCAAGGATTGTATAGCAGGCTATCACAAATCTAGGATAAAATAATCCAACTGCTAGGTTTATACAAAACTATAAATGTATCCCTAAACCAGGGAGGCCTTGAAACTTGGCAACTTGAAGACTTATGGACTTCAACTCCCAGAATTCCCCAGCCACCATGGGGAATTCTGAGTGTTGAAATCCACATGTCCTCAAGTTGCCAAGTTTCAAGGTCCTGCCTTAAACCAATAGCCTATATTTCATGTTAGGATCTTCCCCACTCAACACAATACAACATAATGCCAATCCCACTGACCTTCCAAACTGACACCATCTTTTTTTCTGGCAAAGCGCATTCATTGACAAGGTGTCATTGACCGGGTATCTCTGACCAGATGCTCTTAGAAAGTACATTCCTAAAACTGAGCTTGGAAGGTAAACAGAGTGCATTTACATGAAATTATTCCAGATATTTAACAAGCTGGGTGTTCACAGCTCAGCATTTTCATTTTGTTTTGGGAAGGTGCTCGATCAATAAACAAGTACATCAAGATTTTTATGCATACCAATTCTTAATGAAAGACAGATTGGACACCCAAATCTGTTCTAGCTTTCAGCACAATGCAAGCAGGAAGAGTCGCCGGATGCATTCAGTTGAAAAAAATCATGCTAATGAAAGAACACGCAATATTAATTACATTATGTTATGCTGACTGAACATTACAAGCACAGCATGCTTTTTCTTTCTCAACAATGAAATGTGAGCAGGGTATCTTTCCGTGGAGATAGTTGATCTGTTACTGACAAAATGTAATGAAAATTTATTTTTCCCGTTTGTTCTCTGAAAAATAGTTTTAAATGATTAAATGTAAAAACATATGAAGAATGATTGCAGGAATTGGGAATGCCTAGTCTAGAGAAAAGAAGGACTAGGATTAACATAATAGCAGTGTTCCAATATTTGAGGGGCTGCCACAAAGAGGAGGGGGTCGATTTATTTTCAAAAGCACCAGAAGGCAAGACAAGAAACAATGGATGGAAACTAATCAAGGAGAAAAGCAATCTGGAATTATGGAGAAACTTTCTAACAGTGAGAACAATTAACTAGTGGAACAGCTTGCCTTCAGAAGTTGTGGGTGATTCATCACTGGAGGCTTTTAAGAAGAGACTCGGCAACCGTTTGTCTAGGGCAGGGGTGTCAAACTCAAGGGCTGGGGGCTGGATCTGGCCTGTGGAGTACGTAGATCTGGCCCCTGGGGCCGCTCTGGAAACAGTGAAGGACCAGCCCATGGTGTCTCTGCCAGCGGCCCTCCCGAGCTCTGTTTTCACTGGCAGAGGATTGCAGGAGACCGTCGCAGCCAAAAATACAGCTTAGGAGCCCGCTTTTGCTGGCAGAGCGCTCCGGCCGCCACAGGCACCCCTGACACAAGTGATGTTGAGCTGGCCATGCCCATCCTGGCCATGCCCCCTGCCCCCGCCCCACCGAGGTCAAACACAAACCTGATGCGGCCCTCAATGAAATCAAGTTTGACACCCCTGGTCTAGGGTCTCCTGTTTGAGAGATGGGGGGTGGTGGACTAGAAGACCTCCAAAGTCCCAGCTCTATTCTGATTTTGATTCTGAAAAATGGAAAACAGCTTTTCTGACAGGAAAAATAAAATCACCCCACGGCACTGCTCAAGTCAAAAAAGATGGTACAAAGAAACCATCGATTTTATTGGACAAGGGTTTTTAAGAGGAGTTTTAAGAGCAGTAAGATCCCTATGTGCAGAATTAAGCTTTATAAAACTGAATTTAACTTTGCCCTCGATTAATTTCATCCCCAAGTGCAAGAAGGAGACATTTCTTTATCCATCATGACTGAGTATAGCATTTCCATCCTATTAAGATGATAATCCTTTATTGGATTTTGTTTTCAACACTGTTCTTCGTAAGGCCCCATCTCTCTTTCTTTTGCAAATAACTTGCATTTTGGATCCTAGGAATAAAAACAAGGTGTTATTTCCCCTGCCTGTTGGCTTCAGAAATGCAATTCACCACAGTCTTCAAGCTGAAACTTGAAATGCAATAAGTCTTCTGCTGTTCTAATAATTACTTTTTAATTGAAGAATGAAATCCTAATAGGATTTAAAATTGGGATTACCATATTGTAGTGCAAAACTCATTCTTTTGAGAAGGGGGTTAAACACGAGGCATGTTATATGTAAAAAATAATTAGACAAAATACCCAAACAACCATTGTTATTCCAGTGTTAATCTGAGTGGAAGCACAGATTAAGGTTTTATAGAACTAGAGTTTTAAAAGTTTCTACCGTCAGCCTTTGCCTTAGTAACTATTTTCAGTATTAATCCTCTTCCCTGTGTAACTCAAGATCTGGATTCCTGCACACACCTTGTCAATTCTTCTATCATGACACAAAGGACACACAGTGAGACAACTTTGGAAAGAAAACGAACCTTCGTATGATACACAAATCTGAATCATACAGAGATTTATTTTCTTCCTGAAGATATTTTGCGGCGTGTTCTCATTTCCTGCAATACCTAGGTGTGTATCCACAATGAAAATAAATTAAATTCAAAGTCTTGTTGAGGTATTCATATCCTTACAGAATCCAGGAATACCTGCTGGTACTCTTTCCCAATTGTTTATAATTTTTTTAATGTATTGGTTTATTATGAAAGAGCTGTGGTGGTGCTGTGGTTAGAATGCAGTATTGCAGGCTAACTCTGCCGACTGCCAGCAGTTCAATCCTGACCAGCTCAAGGTTGACTCAGCCTTCCAGGACCCAGATTGTTGAGGGAGGGATGAAAAGCATTATGAAGCAGTATTTAAGTCTAAATGCTATTGCTATTTGCTAGATTTATATTTTGTCTTTCTTTCAGGAACTCAAATTTATTTTTGTAGTACATGTAATCCTTGACTTACAATTATTAAGCAAGACCGTTGTTAAACGTGGCTGATTTTACAATCTTTTTGGCCACAGTTGTTTTTTATTTATTTATTTATTTATTTATTTAATTTGATTTATATGCCGCTCTTCTCCGAAGACTCAGAGCGGCTTACAATGTGTTAAGCAATAGCCTTCATCCTTTTGTATATTTATACAAAGTCAGCTTATTGCCCCCACAAACTGGGTCCTCATTTCACCTACCTTAGAAAGGATGGAAGGCTGAGTCAACCTTGAGCCTTGGCGAGATTCGAACCCTGCAGTAATTGCAGGCAGCTGGTCTTAATAACCAGCTTAATAACAGGGTGCCTTAAACCCCTGTACTACCAAGGCTCTTGGTAGTTGTTAAGCGAATCACTGCATTTGTTAAGTGAATCATTAAGCAAATTTGACTTTCGCCATTTACTTTTATCAGAAGTCAGCTGGGAAGGACAGAAATATCAACAGCAATAGCACTTTGACTTATATACTGCTTCACAGTGTTTTACAGCCCTCTCTAAGTGGTTTACATATTGCCCCCAATGATCTGGGTCCTCATTTTACCGACCTCGGAAGGATGGAAGACTGAGTCAACCTTCAGCCAGTGAGAATCGAACTGCTGGCAGTTGGCAGAATTAGACTGCAATATTACATTGTAACCACTGCACCACCATGGCACTTGACAAATGGCAATCACAAGACCCCAGTATGCTGCAACTATCGTAAATATATGCGAGTTACCAAGTGCCAAAATTTTAATCATGTGACTATGGAGATACTGTAATTATTGTAAGTGTGAGGACCACTAGTAAGTCATGACCATCTTATGACCATGGGCATGCTGCAATGGTCATAAGTGTGAAAAAACAGTCATAAGTCACTTTTTTCAATGTCATTACAACTTTGAACAGTCACTAAGCGAATAATTGTAAGTCGACGATCCCGTTGCGAAACGGTAGTAAAGGTAAGTAGAACCCACCCCGGCTGAGACCCTAGAAAGTGTGCAGAGAAGAGCAGAAAAAAGATGATAAAAGGTCTGGAGCCTAAAAAATCATATGATGAATGGTTTTCAGGGGTGCTATTCAGCAGGTTCTAACAGGTTCTGGAGAACCGGTAGTGGAAATTTTGAATATTTCGGAGAACCGGCAAATATCACCTCTGACTGGCCCTAAAGTGGGGTGGGAATGGAGATTTTGCAGTATCCTTCCCCTGCCACGCCCACCAAGCCACACCACGCCCACCACGCTACGCCCACAGAACTGGTTGTAAAAAAATTTGAATTCCACCATTGGTTGAGGGACATAGTTATGTTTAGCCTACTGAAAAGAAGGATTAGGGGGTATGTGATAGCTGTCTTCCAGTACTTAAGTGACTGTCACAAAGAATAGTTAAATCGATTTATTCTCTACGGCAGCAGAGGGCAAGAAGTAATGGCTGAAAGTTTGTCAAAAAGAGATGCAATCTAGAAATAAGGAGAAATTTTCTGACAATGAGAGCAATTAATTAATAGAATAGCTTGCCTCCCAGAGTTGTGAGTGATCCATCAATGAAAGTTTCCAAGAATAGACTAGACAACCATTTGACTGGGATGCCATAAAGCTTCTGCCTCCAGAAAGTTGTTGGACTGGAAGACCTCCAAGGCCCCTTCTAGCCCTATGATTCTATGATTCTAACACATACCATCATCCTGACCAGGGGCAGCGCTGGAAACAGGGCTGGCCCCTATTCCTGTTGTAAAAAAAAATAAAAATAGCTGGACTGTACTAATTTTCCCTTTCCTCTTACAGATAAGTTGGCTAGAAACGTTTGCATGATTTTGCTGCAGCTTGAAGCTTACCTTTTGGGGAAGTAATCCTCAATCAGGGAGTGAAGAGTTTAAAAATATTTCAAAAATAATTGTGGGCTCAATTGCAGTCATAAGTCATGGACCACCTGTACATGCTAACAACACCTGGGAGAGATAAAGTGGAGGGAGGGGGAGGAGACAGAGAGAGAGAGAGAGAAACAGAGAGAGAGAGAGAGAGAGAGAGTAACAGACAGAGAGACAAAAACAGACGGAGACGAAACACACACACAGAGACAGAGATGGAGACGGAGAGAGAGACAGAGACAGACAGATGGAGAGACAGAAAGAGGGAGAGTGGGACACAAAAACACACACACATATACACACAAACAGAGGGAGAGGGAAAGGAGGAGACAGAGAGAGACAGAGAAAGGAGAGGGAGGGAGGGAGACAGACAGACAGAGAAACAGAAAGAGAGAGAGGGACACACACACACACAGGGAGAGGGAAAGAGCGGAGACAGAGAGAGACAGGAGGGAGGGAGGAAGAGAGAGAGGGAGGGAGGGAGAGAGAGATACAGAGAGAGGGAGAGAGACAAAATTAGGGAGAGGGAGAGAGAGAAAGCGAGACACACACAGAGGGAGACAGAGGGAGACAGAGAGAGAAAGGAAGGGGGAGAGAGTGGGGGAGGGGAAGAGAGGGGAAGGGAGAGACAGAGAGAAAAAGAAAGAGGGAGAGAGAAAAGACAGAGAGAAAGAGAGAGAGGGAGGGGGAGTGAGAGGGAGGGAGGGGAGAGAGAGAAAGTGAGTGAGAGAGGGAGGGAGGGAGAGGGGGTAGCTGTTTCTGCGATGACAAATGAGTGATTTAAACGTGGTTTCTTTGGTGTTAGTCCAACATCTTAGCTTCTATCCCACATTGGCTCTCTCAGCCTAAGGAATACCACTTTTTATAAACATACACATTTAAGAACCTTCACGTGTTTTCCTTTCTTATTAGGTTTATTTGTCCAGCACATTCCAAAATTTAACATTTCTAGTATAAATCTAGCCATTCATATATTTTAAACGTCAATTACATTTTTTAAAAAATAGCTCATGACAGAAGATGGAAGATGGCAAGGAAAGGACAAGGAATACTATTCTTGAAAATACAGAACTTGAAAAGGCAAGTTTTTGGGGGGCAGCTAGTAGAAGGATTTTTGGGGGGGGGGTGTCACTCTTCACACATATCACTGGTGGCACCGGGAAATCTTCACAAGTCTTAAGAGGAGGCAGGACAGGCAAACAACCACGTTGACAAGCGCCGTGAAGATCAATCCCCACAAGGCCACCTGCTTGTCTACTTGGCCCAGCATGGCACACTCAAGAATTGGGGGACAGGCCCGTCCCCCCAGAAGACACCGGAAGGTCATTTCAGACACCAACGGAATCTGCAGAGCAATTACAACCCAGAGGAAAACCAGCTCCATTACCAGGAGAAGAATCACCAGACAAGCATAGGCTGCTAAGTGCCAGGTAGATGGAGAAGAAGTCTTGGCATCGGGTGGAGCTACGTTTCTTTCTAAGGTGGTTTCTTTGAGAGATGGGTGCGATTCTGCAGCCACCATGGCATAATTGACACCATCAGGGTTTGCTTGCTCTTCCTCTGCTGCCCTTGCAGCCTTTTTCTGGTGCTTGGATACAACCCTTATGAGCCCCATAAGCCCCACCGGGAACAGGCCAAACAGAAAACCAAGGCCCCACGCTGAAGAGGTGGGAGAAGAGAAGTGCTGGTTGAAGCAGAGAGCTTGACAAAAAGGCTGAAGATGTTCCTCCATTGTTGCCTTCGTCCAGTTACAGACCAGGTCTGCCTTTGCAGAGGACCAGGGGTCATTGGCTAGAAGGAGGGCCACCAAGCGTAGGCCCAAGAGGAGGTACCATGGGGCCAGGCCAAGACCATCAGATTTTCCTCCGGGGAGCATCATAGTTGGCTGAAAAAGTCGGGCCAGACCGGTAACCAAAGCCGCCATCTATGGAGATAAAGGAAGGGATAAGAGAGAGATAAGTCTCATTAAAGAGGCCATTTCTCCTTCCTTCCTTCCTTCCTTCCTTCCTTCCTTCCTTCCTTCCTTCCTCCATCTCTTCCTTCCATTCTCCCTTCCTTCCTCCTTTCCTCACTCCCTCCCTCCCTTCCTTCCATCCTTCCTTTCCTTCCTTCCTCCCTCCCTTCCATCTATTCTTCCCACTCTACTTTTGGTAAGTTGATGGAAATCATTTCACTGTGATTGGCTAAGTCTTTCCTTCCTTCCTTCTATCCATCCACTCCTTCCCCCCTCCCCTCCTAAATAGATTCCCAAGTATGGAAGTATGACAGCGCTCAAGAGAGAGTGGTAAGTATAAAATGAATTTTTATGAATTGATTGCAAATTGTTCACATGGGATTGGGAGGTGGAAGCATTGTTTATGTGTGAACTATGCATACTGAGCAGAGAATGAAGAGGTCATAATATTTGGTGTCCCACAGAGTCTTTTTTTCACTCAAGATGAAAAATGGGATGAGGTTCTTACTAAGTTACAAATCAGGATCAAGGTTAAAGGAGGAAGGGTGAAAAGTAAATGAAGCAAAACAAGAAAAGAGCAGAATCGGCAGGGTTCATTCAGGCCCCTGCTTGTTCTTTAGTAGCTGCTTCTTCTCTTCCAGGATTTCTGTTCCTTGAGTAACTGAGGCACAAATTCAACAAGTGGGATTTTTCCAAACATTTGGAGAAAATTCCACTTGCTGAATCCCAGTGAAGTTCTTCCCATTGAGAAACTGAACAGAGGGAGGGAGGGAGGGAGGGAAGGAGGGAGGAAAGGAAGGAAGGAAGGAAGGAAGGAAGGAAGGAAGGAAGGAAGGAAGGAAGAGGAAGGAAGGGAGGGGAAAGAGGGAGGGAGGAAGGAGGGAGGGAGGGAGGAAGGAAGGAGGGAGGGAGAAGGAGAGAGGGGGAGAGGAGAGGGAGGAGGAGAGAGGAGGGAGAGAGGGAGGAAGGAGGGAGGGAGAGAGGGAGGAAGGAGGGAGGGAGAGAGGGAGGAAGGAGGAAGGAAGGAAAGAAGGGGAAGGAAGGAAGGAAGGAAGGAAGGAAGGAAGGAAGGAAGGAAGGAAGGAAGATGGAGGGGAAAGGGAGGGAAAGAGGGAGGGAGAGGGAGGAAGGAGGGAGGGAGAGAGGGAGGAAGGAGGAAGGAAGGAAGGAAGGAAGGAAGAGGGAGGGAGGGAGGAAGGAAGGAAGGAAGGAAGGAAGGAAGGAAGGAAGGAAGATGGAGGGGAAAGGGAGGGAAAGAGGGAGGGAGAGAGGGAGGAAGGAGGGAGGGAGAGAGGGAGGAAGGAGGAAGGAAGGAAGGAAGGAAGAGGGAGGGAGGGAGGGAGGGAGGAAGGAAGGAAGGAAGGAAGGAAGGAAGGAAGGAAGGAAGGAAGGAAGGAAGGAAAGAAGGGACTTAGCCAATCAAACTCAATCAATTTCCATCAACTGACCAAAAGTAGAGTGGGAAGAACATTATCCAATCACTGCACCATCCCCTGCGCTACAGCTGTATGTGAAATTTTAAAAAATCCCCCACAAATCCTTCTCTATACAAAAAGAAAATAACCTAAATTGTTAGTCCTTCCCTAAACACCACTTTGAAAATATTGAAAATATTTCGAAATATTGAAATCTCAGCAAAGGTTTGTTCCTCTGTTTCATAAAAGCTGCCTGAAATTAGCAAAGGTGAACTATTAATTTATGACTAGAGGCCAAACCATGAAAAATGTACAGGAAGATTAGTGGTAATATTCTAACAGGTTTATACAGGTAGTCCTCAACCTATGACCCCAATTGAGTCCAAAATTTTCATTGCTAAGCAAGACAGTTGTTGAGTAAATTTTGCTCCATTTGCCACAACTGTAGTGATTCACTTAACAAGAAAAGTTGTGAAATGGGGCAAAACTCACTTAACATTTGTCCTGCTTAGCAACAGAAATTTTGGGCTCAGTTGTGGCAATCAGTTTTTTAGCTGCCAAATTTGCTGAATTTTACATCTTCCACTTGTAAAAAAAAAAACTTCTCTACATTTGTATTGCCTTTTCCTTCTTTACCTCAAATAACAGTAAATAAAGTGAGGGTAATGGAGAAATAGCTCAGGGCTTCGGGGCTGATATTACTAGGAGCTGTTTACGTAGAAGGACCCAAAATGCCAACATTGCAACTTTTCAATTTTAATGAGTTTCTTTTCTCCGTCTCCTCCTTCTCCTTCTCCCCTTTTCTAAGACAAAGGAAATGAAAATACAAGAGGATTGCAAGTAGTCTAGACTTGTTTCCCCGCTAAAGGGAGAAAGCGATAGAAAGGAGAAAAGCAGCCACTTTGCAAAGATAAAATTTGGAGCAAGATTTAAGAGACAGTCCAGAACAAAAGCTGGGCTTTTTAGTTGGTTTGTGAATGATCTCAAAATTCACAATAGTTGCACATAAGCAACCCAACTTTCTTATCTTCAACCCATTCGACCAAGAGAGGAATTCTGGGTCAGCAAAGATCTCTTTGGATTAAAGCATACAAGTGCAATTTTTCTCTTTACCGTCCCTCCTTCCAGTCCCCTCCTTTTCCTCTGCTTTTGTATCCTGTGTCCAACAGTTCTCTTAATATTCAATCAAACATTTTACTTTGTGAAATTTCCCTGCCTCTGGAGCACCAAGTTTTTACCTTTACTCTGTACTCTGTGTCTTTCTCCTTCCACCTTCTTAGACTTCTTCAGTTTGTTGGATCTGCCATCTGTCTGGTACTTCAAGATAGAAAATTTTGTTCTATTTTTTGTTCCCGATTATCCAAATTAGGATGGGCCGCGTAGTGAGAAGTGGAAAGCTGAACTGAAACTCACTTCTCCAAGTAAGAATAGCTGCTGTCCCCATCCAGCTGCACACTGGAGGCTGCCACTTCCCCACAAAGAGATGTGAACAAAGAACAATACAACTTCATTCATTGGACGCCCTCTTCTCTTGTGAGCTTTTATATGCTGTGTTTTTTCCATCAATGGCCTTCCCATGTCCAGCCCAGGAATGGAAGGAATGAGCTAAGACCCTGGAGAATCTGTTTTCCTCCCTTTTACAGTTGCTTCCCGGGAATGGATTCAAAACAAGCCTCTAACAAAAGCAGAGATGTGCCAGGTTTCACAGAATAATGGCTGCAGGTCAGATAATGGCCTGAGATGTAAGTATGTCTCCTTCTCTTGAACTACAGGTGGTTTTAACAAAGTAAGAGAATAACAGCATTGGAAGGGACCTTGGAGGTCTTCTAGTCCAAACCCCTGCTAGGGCAAGAGACCATGTACCATTTCAGACAAATAATTGTCTAGTCTCTTCTTAAAAACCTCCAGTATTGGAGCAAGCCGTTCCAGTAATTAATTGTAACAGTAATAGAGTTGGAAGGGATCTTGGAAGTCATCTAGTACAACCCCTGCTCACACAGGAGACCTATACTAGAGATCCGAACTGCCGAACTGCCGACCTTTCTAATCGACAAGCTCAGTGTCTTAGCCACTGAGCCACCTAGCCAGGCTTGTTCTAACTATCAGGAAATTTCTCCTTAGTTCTAGCTTGTTTCTCTCCTTGATTAGTTCCCATCCATCCATCCATCCTTCCATTGCTTCTTGTCCTGCCTTCAGGTGCTTTGGAGAAAAGTTGACCCCCTCTTCTTTGTGGCAGCCCCTCAAATATTGGAACACTGCTGTCATGTCACTTCTAGTCCTTCTTTTCATTAAACTAAATATACCCAATTCCTGCAGCCGTTCTTCATATGTTTTAGCCTCCAGTCCCCTAATTATCTTTGTTGCTCTTCTCTGCACCCTTTCTAGAGTCCCCACATCTTTTTTTATACCATGGTGACCAAAACTGGATGCAATATTCCAAGTATGGCCTTACTGAGGCATTATATGATGCAGCCTAGGACCGCGTTGGCTTTTTTTGGCAGCTGCAACACACTGCTATCTCGTATTTAAGTGATTGTCTACCAGGACTCCCAGATTCCTCTCGCAGTTACTACTACTGAACCAGGTACCACCTACACTATACGTGTTTATTTGTTTCACGTCTCAATCTATGTCCCACCAGACAGAAATGATGAAAAATGTATGACTGTTGCCATTGTGGCAGATACTGGAACACAAATGGCACGATGAGGTCACTATGTATCATTTTCAGCACTGCAAAGAATATCTGGATTTCTGCTTGCAAACCAGCCCTTGCAAGTGGTTGGCTTTGATTCAACTCCCAAGCCCACATTCTGAATACAGATCATGTGATACATGTGAAAATAACAACTTCTGGTCCTTTGCTCGGGGTCATCCATTAGCTATATGCTGTAGAACAGAAAAACCATATTCTCTGAGAACTTACTTGAGTGTATTTTTTGCATATCTTGCCCCATGACACACCAGGGATGTGTGTGGATACAACTGCATCAGCTGTCTGTCCCCAAAAACCTTGATTCAAGTTCTGCCACAAAGCCAGAAAATGGGATCCAAAGCCTGACCTGCAGAAAAAGAGGAGGAGGAGGGGGGGAAGGAGAAGGAGGAAGAGGAGGAGGAGGAGGATGGGAAGGAGAAGGAGAAGGAGAAGGGAAGAGTCACAGAGATTTGAAGTGATATGGTTTTTAAGTAGCTGCCAGTATGTCAGTTTTCTCCAATTTGGTGCCCTCCTGATGCATTAAACCATGGAGCATGTCCTTGAAACATGCAATGAAACTTGCAACAATTAAATGGGGGAGGCTGGAACAGGAATCTTGAGGCCCCTCACTCACCTATAACAATTTCTGTTGGCTACAACCATCTTTCTTCTCCAATAAGCTCCATTTATAGACTGTGTTGTAGCCACACAAACTGGGAATAATAAAGCTCTGAACCACACTGTTTTCCAAGGAGATTTCAACAAATGAAGCATTTAAAGCTGACCCTCTCCATTGGAGGAGTCATTCCTTTGCGGGGAAATATACATTGGACAAAGAGAATTCAATTCAGGACAATGAACCAGGGCTTAGTGGGTGGAGAGCAGAGAAACATAAGCCCCAGGATGTAGCTGCAAAATAATAGAAAAAAATAGGTTTTCTGGAACTTTTATGCAATGATCTCGCAGATGCAATTACAATAAGGAGAGAAATTGGATCTTAGAATGGAAGGTGCTTAACACTTGCGTGCAGGTTTCAACAAGTCCACAAGGTGGCAGTTCCCATATTCCCTTAGCTTGTTTTTTGTTTGATCGCTTCTTCAAGGCAAGTTAATTCTGAATTTTATTTTCTGCTTCATGATAGATTTTGCCACTTTGCAGAAAGATTGTGGTTAACACAGTCTAGATGCTGCCAGATTCCAAATACCATTCTGAAAGCATTTTACTTTAAAAGCTACATGCCACCTTTGTAACAGTAACAGAGTTCGAAGGGACCTTGGAGGTCATCTAGTCCAACCCCCTGCTCACGCAGGAGACCTGTACTAGGGATTCGAACTGCTGAACTGCCGACCTTTCTGATCGACAAGCTCCGTGTTTTAGCCACTGAGTCACCTAGTCAGGTGTCACCAATCAGAGTGGAGTCACCAATCAGAGTGGGACTGGCACCCCAAAACAAACCCACAGCTCAAGAAAGAGTCATGGTTATAGAGATCAGAACATGGGGCCCATGTTCAACTGCTATTCCTAAATGTGATCCAGGGAGTTTGCCAGATAATAGGAGTCAGGAAATCTATCTGCTCATGCCTTTCTACTCTTGATCTCTCGATGCAAGAAATCTCAGTCAAAGCATTACCAGTCTTCCATCTTGGAGTCCATTGGGGAGGAAATTATGACCTCAGATGGTCCAAACGTATATGCTGCTCAGTTTGCGGTTTGAGTTGTCACTGAGTGGCTAAGGATGAACCTGAGACAGGTGCAGATACGTTATAGCCATGTTGGTTACCTGGCATCTTAGTCTTTTAATGAAGATGTCAAGTTGCCAAGACAGATCAATCTATCGGAATAGAGCTGAAAGGGACTTTGGAGGTCTTCTAGTCCAACCCCCTGTTCAAGCAGGAGACCCTATACCATTTCAGACAAGTGACTGTCCAGTCTCTTCTTAAAAGACTCCAGTGATGATACACCCACAACTTCTGAAGTCAAGCTGTTCCACTGGTTAACTGTTCTGTTAGGAAGTTTCTCCTTAATTCCAGGTTGCTCCTCTCTTTGATTAGTTTCCATCCATTGTTTCTTGTCTTGCCTCTGGTGCTTTGGAAAATAAGTTGACCCCATTTTCTTTGGGGTATCCCTTCAAATACTGGAATACTGCTATCATGTCATCCCTAGTCCTTCTTTTCTCTAGACTAGCCAACCCCAAATCCTGTAGCCATTCTTCATATGTTTTAGACTCCAGGCCTTTAATCATCTTAGTTGCTCTTCTCTGCACTTTTTCCAAAGTCTCAACATCTTTTTTTGTAATGTGGTAACCAAAACTGGATGCAGTATTCCAGGTGTGACCTTACTAAGGCTTTATAAAGTGGTAAGAATACTTCAGGTGATTTTGATTCTATGCCTCTGTTTATACAACCAAGGATTGTATTAGCTTTTTGTGCTGTTGCTGCACATTATTAGCTCATGTTTGAGGGATCGTCCACTAGGACTCCAAGATCCCTCTCACAGTTACTGTTTTTGAGCTGGGTTTCACCTACTCTGTACTGGTGGCATGGTAGGGCTGGGCTGGGAGGCCTGAGGGTCAGTGGTCATCATCTCCAGTAAAGATCACTTCTCCAGTAGTGATTTCTTATCTAATCATATGTTCTCCTCATCAGACAATGGATGATATAGCGACTAGCTGCCATTTGAGAGCTTAAACAGGAGGAAAAGCAGATTTTCTCCAACTAATAAAATACTATGCCTAATTGGATAAATGGCCTCAATATTAATATACAGAACACTTATTCCATTCTCATGAACTAATGTATTTCAAAATTCTAACTTATAGCTTTTTTTGAATTCCTCATACCTTACAAAATTGGCTACATGTTCCATCATACGTGTGCCATAGCATTAGGTGCTCCTTTTATATATTTTTACTATTGTTATCCATGTACTCTATGCCACGTGCTAAATTCTTATCATCATTGAGACGTTGTAAAACGTATTCCCATTATTCCTAAAGTCATCCTTCCTGTGGAATAGCATACCCTCCCCTCCTACCCCAGAATTCCTACAATCCCAATCCTGTTTACCTCCTGCAGATATTAAAGAATTGGGATGTTTCCCCAGGCACTAGAAGTAGGATGTTGGGGGAGCCCAATTTATTTGGGTTTTTGTGTACTTTGGAGATGGGCTATGGGCCAACGGCCCCCAAGACCAATTTATATTTAAATTATTTTCTGCTGCTCATTTGATCTTTATTGTGGGATTTAATCCTTTATTAGTAATGCACGCACACACACAAACACACACTGAGCTCTACCATGCAGGCAATGGCAAACCAATTCTGGAAGAAAAAAATGTTGCCCAGAAAACTTTAGGAGTTAGGATTAGGGTTAGGGTTCTCCAGGCAGTCAATGAGGAATCCAAAACTGACATACATACATAAATAAATAAATAAACAAACAAACAAACAAACAATCACACCAGGGGTGAAATGCTCCCGGTTCAGACCGGATCACCCGATCTGGTAGCGATGGAGGCGGGTGGTTCGGAGAACCAGTAGCAAAAATCCCTGCTCCCCCATGCTCAGCTGAGCCGCTCGATCATCAGAGGCTTTTTTACTTTTAAATGCCTCTGACGATCCAAGCTGAGTTGCCTGATCGACAGAGACTTTTTTAAAAAGCCTCTGCCAATCAGGCAACTCAGCTGGGAACGTCAGAGCCTTTTGAAAGCATTTTTTTACAAAGTCTTCACCGAAGAGGTTGTAGAAAAAATGTTTTTTTTAAAAAAAAATTGGCCACGCCCACCCAGTCACATTACCCCCCACTGCCAACAAGCCACGCCCAGAGAACCGGTAGTAACAAATTTTAGATTTCACCACTGAACCACACTATATAGGAAGTTCCCATATTTGGTTAAAAATTGTAAAGCTGGATTCACAAACTGACCAGCAGGTGGCGCTAAAGGCTCTCTCATCTGGGCCATGGGGAAATGCGCATTCAAGATACAGTAACTAGAAAAAAAAGGATTAGACCTGGAAGGGGGGGGGGACTCCCGCTTCCTCAACTCTGCTTTATGCTCTCTTTAGCCTGCAGGGGTGGGTGTGGGCAGGGACTGACATCACTGATAAGAGGATGAACTGGTGCCCTGCCTTGATTCTCTGCTAGTAGCAGAGAAGACTAATTCCCAGTTATCCAGACAGGAGTGTTTGGAAGTCACCAGGCAGTGGGGCCGGTGCACAAGTGGTCAAAGTCATCTGAAACCGCACTGGCTGATGTGTAAAAGCCTCAATTAAGGAGATGCAGTGTGAAGAGTGAGACATTCCACAACCTACGTAGTTGTTTCTAGCTACCTTATCCAGTCTCCATCACACACACATATAAACCTGGCTAACTTGGCTATCCTTGAGAACAATGAGGTCCAGAATTGGCCTGGTGGCAGGGCTGATCGGAATTAGAACCCAAACCACATCTGGGAAGCGCCAGGCGCCTCATCTCTCCATCCATCCATCTTCGGCCTGTCAGCGTCACAGCCGGCGGCATTTAATGGTTACTTAAAAGACAAAAGCACTTCCGAGAGCACAGCGTGCATTTTAACCGGATACTTTGAATTGCTCCTGGGCCCTGGAAAAGCCGACTTCAAATCTTACCCTCCGCTGAGTCACATGCCTGGAGTGGAGGCTAGCTAACGAGAGGGCTGGGCCTCGCCAGATGGCTGCAACAGTTTGGCAACCAGCCTCGCCTTTTTGTCACCAGGGAATTTCTAAGGTTGCACAACTCCCTGCTAGCGAGTTCCTGCGTATTGAAACCCTGGGCATTCCTGCACTGTGGTATGAAGTCAGTGATGGAAAGGAAAAGAAATATATGCACTAATGATTAGAAGTGTGAGGCTAGATGTGACCTTCCTTGGCATTGGGGGCAAAGGAGAGGAATTCACCAAGAATAAAAGGATATCCCTAGTGGAGTGGGGAGCGAAGGAGGGGAAACCACTCGGAGAGAGTGAAGGGAATCCATTTAACATAATTTGATCAGCACAAAACCAAAATGATATGTCAATTGCCTCATGGGATGGATGAAACTTCACAATATGGAGAGCTGGCTGATCCAGGCAGTCCTCTACTTACGACCACAATTGAGCCCAACATTTCCGTTGCTGAGTGAGACATTTGTTAAGTGAGTTTTGCCTCATTTAACAACCTTTCTTGCCACACGTTGTTAAGTGAATCACTGCAGTTTTTAAGTTAGTGACACGGTTGTTAAGTGAATCTGGCTTGCCCATCGACTTCTCTTGTCAGAAGGTTGCAAATGGTGATCACAGCATCTGAATTTTAATCATGTGACCATGGGGTTGATGCAATGGTCATAAGTGTGAAAATCAGTTATAAGTCATTTTTTTCAATACCATTGTAACTTTGAGCGGTCACTAAATGAACTGTTGTTAAGTCAAGGACTATCTGTATCTACAATACAGCAGTGTAATATTATTATTTATCCTTTCTGTTACCTTCTTTACTTCCCCTTTAATTGGTGGTATTAATATTATGGTTTGTCACACTGTCAGCCAGATGTTCAGGCTGGATTATTCTATCTGTTGCTTTGCGTGTACAGTTAGTGCTTCTGTACCAAATTCTTTGTGTGTCTAATCACACTTGGCCAAATAAAGTATTCAATTCAATTCTGTTTTAAACTTGGCAATTTTAAGAAGTGTAGGCTTCAAATCCCAACATGCCGACGGAGGAATTCTGGGACATGAAGTCCACACAGCATAAAGTTTTCAAGTTTGAAAAACACTGATCTACTGTCTGTCATGCTTTTAGGCCAGACATAGAGAATCCTGGCTTTGCTATAATTATAGACAAAGATGGCTAAAGCACAGGAGGAATACCAAATTAGTCAGAAGTGGCAAAGGGTGTTTCTGGGAGGCTGATCTGTGCCCAGAACATTTGATGTCTAAAACAGAAATTACCTTCAAATCTTTACTGTGTCTTCTGCTAAAGCAACTTTGTAAAGTAAATAAATTTCCAGTACATTTTATTTAAAATTTATAACATTTAAACCTGTCCTGTCCTCAGCCAAGTTAGAAAGCCCGTTTCTCCTCTCCTTTTTCCCTTTAAAAACTTTTCTCCTGCCTGTTGCATGACTTCCTTGCAGTCTAGACAGTTCCAGAAGTATCCAATTATTTTGTCTCCAAGCTTCTTTGGTTTTAATTTCCAAAATGTCCTATTTCTGCCCCCGCTCAGGTGGATCTACTCCAAAACCTCAGCACTTGGATTGCCCCAAAATCAAGCATCTCTCTGTACAATCTGTATGTTGAAAAAGCATTTTCTTTTAATATCTATCCATTTCCATATGTCAGCTACTATATTCTCCCTTCCTCTCAAAGCATTTAAAAATAAAAATCTCTCTTGAGTTCAATCAGCGTTGACTACAAGGACAAGTCTGTATGATTTTCTTGGAGCAGTATGGTATAGCTAGTCCTTGACTTATGACCACAACTGAGCCCAAAATTTCGGTTGCTAAGTGAAACATTTGTTAAATGAGTTTTGCCCCATTTTACAACCTTTCTTGCCCCAGTTGTTAAGTGAATCACTGCAGTTGTTAAGTTAGTAACATGGTTGTAAATTGAATCTGGCTTCCCCAGAGACTTTGCTTGTCAGAAGATCCAAAAACTGTTCATATGACCCGGGGAGACTGCAGTCGTCATAAAAATGAATCAGTTGCCAAGCGTCCAAATTTTGATCATGTGTCCATGGGGATGCTGCAAGGTTTTCCTAAACGTGAAAAACGAAGTCACTTTTTTCATTGCCCTTATAACTTCGAACAGTCACTAAACGAAAAGTAGTAAGTCAAGGACTATCTTCACAGAAGCAATTCTCAACTGCCTTTTTCTGCTACAATTTTAGCAACTTCCCAGTCTTTTTGGGCTTTCCTGTTGGTATCCTATCCAGTACAAAAAGAGATCAGCCAAGGCTGGCAATTAGCCACCTCCTACAACATGCATACAAACATCCACACCTTCATGATGGGCTGGATTACAGTCCCCATCCTTCTGCAAACACTAGCTGTGGCTGATGGGAACAATAGGTTCTGGAAGACACAAGAGTATGAAAGGGTAAAACAATGCATTTACCTCTAGACCAGTGATGGCTAACCTTTTTGCCATCGCGTGCCAAAAGCGGGGAGAGTGGGGGGGTCGCGCGCATGTGTCCGCACCCATAATTCAATGCGCCCCCCCTTCACGCATATGCACACAACCCCCCCATGCTCCCCACACTTTTGGCATGTGATGGCATGGTGGGCCTGGTAGGCCTGTTTTGCACCCTCCCCAGGCTCCAGCGGCTTTCTTGGAGCCTGGGGAGGGCGAAAACAGCCTTCCCCACTCTCCCCGGAGGCTCTCCGGAGGCTGGAAACAACCTGTTTCCTGACTTACGGTGGGCCCAGAAGGCCCAAAAATCAGCTGGCTGGCTCGCGCATGCACGCTGGAGCTGAGCTAGAAAAACACTCGCGTGCCCACCAATATGGCTCCACGTGCCACCTGTGGCACGCGTGCCATAGGTTCGCCATCACGGTCCTAGACCAAAGATCCACAAAGGAGGCTTTACCCCCACTAAAATGGTTTCAGAAATTATGACATGCTTTTGACATTCACAGGAATTTAATATATTTCTTGCATGATAAATATTTAAACCATGCACGTAGCTGGCGTGAGAGATTTCTCCCTTTCTCCTCCTCACACACCACAAGGATTCAAGGTCACACACTAAAACTAAATGCAAGGACTTCTGCACACCACCAAGGATGGCAGCCAATTGCGACAGTGTTAAAAGGGAGTTGGACAGGATTAGGGACAAACTGTCCATGGCTTCTAACGTTACTGATAGGCCAGCCAGGTTGGTCTAGTGCTTAAGGTGCTGGGTGCTAGAAACCAAGAAATGATGAGTTCTCGGCATGGAAGGTGGCGGGAAGGAAGTTTAGGCTATTCCCCTCCCAGCACAGTCCACCTTGCAGGGTTGTTGTGAGAAAAATGGGAAGAGCAAGCATTATTGTACCTCTGCCCTGAGTTATACAAAATAAAGATGGGAAATGAAATAATGAACACATTAAAAAAATATATAAATCAGGCTAGTACCATGTACAAGGTATAGCAAACCCTAAATAATAACTGCCTGAGCAAAAACTTCAGAGCAAGTTCATTAGTATCTCCGAGATACAATTTGCTATATTATATTATATTATATTATATTATATTATATTATATTATATTATATTATATTATATTAATTATATTATATTATATTAATTATATTACATTATATTTTACATTATATTTCAGATATATTGTAATATATATGAAATAATATAATATGAAATAATATATGAAATAATGTAATGTAATATGAAGTATTATATTTCATATTACATTACATTATTTCATATAATATTATTTCATATATATTACAATAATATATTATATTATTTCATATATTATTTTTGTTGTTGACATTTTGTTGTTGATTGCGCAGGCTGGATTTGATGCAGCACTTTTGACTATCAGAATCTCCCCTCTGATCTTGGAGAGTTAAAATGATCATATTAAATTACCTGCTACTGTTCCAAATCCTGCAATTTTTTTGTAAGTTATAATTATTATTATTATTATTATTACTACTACTACTATGGTTGGTGGCTTCAAAAAAATACCCCCGCTGTAAACACGAAAAGAAAAGCCCAAACGACGGAAAGCGGCCCTTTCCAGAGGGGCCACAGGATTTCTAGCCCAGCAGGGCTTCCGAGAAACCGGGACTGGCCGGGGCAAAGCTCGAGTCCCCGTCCACCCTCCCTCTCGCTGCCTCCCCCGTCTTCCCTTCTCCGGCCGGGCCGTTTCCTTTCATGAGCTGACTCGCTCCCGCTCCCACTTCTTCCCCCCCCCCGCACCTCCCCCGCAGATCAAAGGATGGAACGCTGAGTCCTGGCCCCGCGCCCGCCAATCCCCGACTGCGGGGGCGTCTCTCGCCGGGAACCGAGCCGGGCCGAGCCGAGCCGGGGAGAGTTTTCAACACTGAGTCAGAGCGAGGCTGGCGGTCGGTCTTTCGCGATCGGACATCCTCGGCGGCGAAGAAGCAGCGAGATCCACCTGAGATGCTTGCCTGGGGAGTCATCCTGGGGCTCTTGCCCGCGTTGCTGGGGTTCTCCCGGGGAGAGCCCATCGCAGGTAAATGGGGATCAGGGAGCATTTAGGACGGGGGGTGGGGGGACGCGTGTCCTTTTCTCCTCTCTCGGCAAACTTTTCAACCAAAGGAGAGTCGGCGGAGGAGAGCAAATAGGCGCGGCTTTTCAGGGTTGTTGGGACGGGAAGGTGGCGCGAAGGTCTCTCTACCTGTTGAATTGCCGCCTTTGACCGCGCTCGCGGTCCCCCGGGGCTGTTTGAAGCGACATTGGGGAGAGGGGGCTCGGGAGGGATGAGGAAGAGCCGGCAGGTGGAGATAAAACAGAGGAAGGGGAGGCTGGCGAGTGAATGAATGAGCATAGGAACGAATAAATGAACGAATGAATGAATGAATGAAGTTGTTTGTAGTTTGTCTGGATCCCTTTTGTGATTGAGCGCTTATCAGGAGTCTCGGCCGTGGCTGCCCTTCGTGTAGAAAACGTGGAATGAAAACTTCGCAGCGATTTTTAAACGGACGAGTGTGCCGGTTTCCCAGTAATCCAGCGTTCTGGTTGATAAACGTGTCGGTAGATACACGGCTGAGTCCTGCTTATAGCATGGTGCGTTCACACGTAATGTTAAGGAAAAGGCTTAGATCAGCGAACCCTCCAAGGAAGAGAGAGAGAGATTCAATATAAAGTATCTTAATGACACCCTGCAAAGTTTTTCCAGCAAGTGCAACTTTCTATCGCGGTTCCGTTAATTCCCAGGGCTGAACCTGTGACACCCCTAACGTAAAGATGCCGGTTAGGAGATTTACGAAAACGACTAATGGTGTAAAGTAACATTTGTTTGGTTGCCAGTCGCTCTCTCTCCCGGGCTAGCCCACCTCGTTGTGGGAAAATAGGAGTAGGAAAGAGTATTACGTACGTTCACCGCCTTGAGTTATAAAGTAATAAAGGCGGAATAAAAGAAAAAAAAATCTAAATAAATAAATAAATAGAATAACGTAGTTCGCTCCGACTAAGCAATCTGCACATGCTTAGTGGCGGCTTTCTTATCAGCTGGCAAACACCGGCGCTGAGTTAAACCCCGCCCCTCCCCTCGACATCAATCACAGAAGTTGTCAGAAGTGGGATGTTTATGAATGCGAGGCCCCGCCCCGCTCGACCCTGCCTCTTTCCTATTGGCGGGCTTTCAGGGTGAAAGTCTCAGGGCGTCTTACTCCTGCAAGGGAAGAAAAGGGGGTCGGCGGGGCAGGCTGAGCGATCTGACGTCGGCGTCATGCGACCCACACTGAGTCATTCGGCATCTCTGCTTCTGGGCTCAGCGCCATCTGGTTGCTTGCTCGCTGGAGGCATGTTTTATCAATGAAGTCATTTAAAAGTGAGGGACGTGATGGCTCCCTCTCCTCCTTCTACCCACCCTCCCATTTTGCGATGTGATGCTCCCTGAGTTGACACCTCCTCCCCCCCGCCCCGCATGTTCTCCTGTTCCTAACACTGGTTCACGTTTCGAGGTGAAACACAATACCCACTCACCCCAGTGACGTTACCCCTCTGGAAATAGCCCTGGTGTCATGGGGGGTGGGCTTGGATCACATGGATTAAATGGAGTGGCTCCCCATTTATGAATCTTATTTTGCTTCCCTATTTTCACCCAGTTGATAATGCTTCCCATGACCCAAGTCCTTCCTTCCTTCCTTCCTTCCTTCCTTCCTTCCTTCCTTCCTTCCTTCCTTCCTTTCTTTCTTGCTTTCTTTCTTGCTTGCTTGCTTTCTTTCTTTCTTTCTTTCTCTTTCTCTTTCTCTTTCTCTCTCTCTCTCCCTCCCTCCCTCCCTCCCTCTTTCTTTCCCTCCCTTTCCCCCCCCCTCTTGATTCATGAGTTTTTAGGAAAGCACTTATGGCTGCAAACATGCTGGGTTTCAATTTCCATAACTCTACGGTAGGAAGCCAGGGATTATTGGAACTGGAATCTAACATACCTGCAAGGGGGCAGAATCAGAAATACCAGAACTTTGGTTAACCCCACTGTGCTTTAGGGAGGCAGAAACTTCCTGATGCTGTTTGTGTGAAAAGGAGGATGGGTGAACTCTCAACTCCCTTTCTGCCTTTTTTTTTTCCTCCTCAGAAACTAGCTGTCCTGGAGGCCAGTCCTGGAGTCCCGACTTGGAAAAGTGCATGGATTGCTCAGTGTGCCAAAGTCAAAACAAGAACGATTTTTGCTCTACCTGTGAGTGGCTCCTAACTATGCCTGGTAGTGTGGTGGAAGAGGGCTCCAAATGCCTTTGGACACTCAGCCCACTGCTGTTAGCTGTATGTCTGCTAACTGTAGTCTTTGTTTTTAATTCCTCCCCTTTCTTTTGGGAGCAAGTGGTCGCTTGATAGTGAGACGGGTGGCATATACATTTAATTAATAAATAAATAAAGGGAAGTAAGCCTTGGCATCTTCCTCCAAGCATGAGAGCAGCCACTGGTGCCGTTCCCTTACAGAGGTCCAAATTTGCCCTGGTGGCTGCTTTGCGTCATCTCAAAGCTCATTTTTGGGGCCTGGAGTTAATTAGAGTTCAGAAAGAAGCAGAGGCTCAGTTTTTGGCCAGCCTTTTTATGAGCAGGGTTGTGCCGTTGTGCTGCTGGCAATGAAAAAGATAACTGATTTTTTTTTTCCCCACCTCTATTCCAACATTTAAAACTGGAAAAAGTAAAGTCTTTGTATACAGTTTTATTCCACTGGTTGTGGCAACTCTCCGCCTTGAGGGGCCTAGGTAGGCAGGAAGGGAAAGGATTTTTAAACAGTAGATGTCTGTTTCCAATTAAGAAATTGGCTGCATCAGTCAAAGATCCTTTGAGATCAACTAAAGGTCATTTTTTTCAGGGGAATTTAAGGTGTTCTTCTCGTTGTTGCAGGTGGAGACCCCCAGCCCACCAGCTCCTTAAATTTGTGGGTGCTAGTTGGGGCATCGCTAGGTGCTGTTCTTCTGGCTAGCATCATAGCAGGCACAATCATTTATGCCCGCTGCCGAAGGCGAGAAAAATTCACCAGTAAGTTCTTCCTTTTTGTGATGTTTCGTCCTACTTGAAATTGTTGCCACGGGTAGTCCTCAACTAACAACCATTCATTTAGCGACCATTTGAAGTTACAATGGCACTGAAAAAACTGACTTGATGGATTTTCACACTTATGACTATCACATGATCAACATCAGATGATCCTGGCATGTATTTACCAGCATGCCAAGGTCATTTGTTTGCCATTTCCAACCTTCCCAGCTGGCTTTCGACAAGCAAAGATTGGGGGGGGGGAGATGGATTTATTTAACAACCATGTGTTAACAACTGGAGTAATTCGCTTAACAACTGTGTCCAAAAAGGTCGTAAAATCAGGTATGACACAGTTACTAGTCACCATGCTTAACAACAGAAATTCTGGTCCCAATTGTCGTAATTCAAGAACTACAGTGAGCATCTGTGTAGCAAAGTCTTCACCTCTTCTTCACACTGATAAATCTTTTAACTATCTTTTACTCTCTTTTCAGCCCCAATTGAAGAAACTGGAGGCCATTCAGCTCAAGAATCACTGATACACTGAAGGTGAGATCAGGACACTCCTAATCACAGTTCCTTTCCTTGTCCTTCCTTCCTTTCTGCCTGTGGGTGGAACACTTCTATTATTGTTATTAGAAATATCTATTGGTTTTATAGCTTTTAATGTTCTAAGCTGCCAGAGTCACCTGTGGCGAGATGAGTGGCAAATTAAATAAGTAAATGAATAAAGAAATAAAGTGACACTTTAAGAAGGGAGAAAGAGAAACCAAGTTTCTAGTTCTCAAAAACAAACACAAAATGTTTAGCTTTCCCTCTTTTTCAGAAACCTGCCCAATAACCTTGAGCAGAAAACTTTTTTTCTAGATAGTGAAACATTTACAGAAGCTAAGTATATTTGTATGAAGTACAATGAAGTCACACTGTGATAATAGAAGTCTTTTTTTCCCTGTGTGGCATAGTTTCATGTTCATTCCTAAGCACTTTCATGTTTGAATAATGTCAGAAGGTTCTCCTAGTACACATATTTACAGCGACTGACACCTGATTAAGTCTAATTTCTGAGCAATGCTGCCTAGGATTGTTTTGTTAATCTTATACCCTCTCTAAAAAATTCCAGTTTCATACTTGAAATGAGTAGTATGTATTTCATTTCATACCTACTACTAGTACTGATGATGTTACCTAATTTGGGTAATATAACATCTGCAAGAAAACAAGCAAGCTCAGAAAGAAAAAAAAAAGAAAGCACCAAGGATCCCTCAATTTCATACTTGGCATATTTTTGTTTTTAAAACATCCTGCTCTTCATTGGATTTGCTCAAGTAAAGATATCAAGGCATAAAGGTGGGATAAGAAATCCAATAAATAAATAATAAATAGGTAAATGGCACTATGGCCCTTTTTTAAATTTAAGGACAACCCTGGTAGGTAGGCCAATCTAATCCAAGAAAAGTCCCAACCTCTGGTTTCACCAGTCTGTTTCTAGTGTTTTCCTTTCCTAAAATAATATCTCTGATATATTTCAGCATTTCCCAGCTGTCATTCCCAACCAGTTGCCCTCCTCGGCTACTTTGTGGACTTCAATTCCCAGAATTCCCTAGCCAGCCATGTATGAACTTCAACTCCGGGAATTCTGGGAGTTGAAGTCCACAAGTCTTAAAGTTGCCAAGGTTGGAGACCCCTGCCCTAGAGTGATGGGAATTTGGGAGGACAACAAGAAAGAATCATACTGAGTATGATACAAATTTATCTTGTGTTTTTTTTTCCCCACAGATCTGTTGTTTTTTTTTCACCACTTCAGATGCAGGAAACGGCAAAGAAAACATCACTTTTGATTACCTCGACTTTTCTTGAAGCTGCGAGAGAGACATTTTTCACCTGCCCTGGCATTCTGGGGCCTTACATTTTGCACACTCAGCAACGGGCTGTGAAACCTACTGTCTCTTGTTCCCATTTCAGGAAACAGGCCCCTCTGGGGAAAGGGTGACCATTTTTCTTGTCAAACGCCTTGTGCTATGTGAGGTGAAAAAAAACTCACTTCTGGCATATACATACCCCAGGCCTAATGCCCCATATTGGGGTGATTTATTTTTCTACAGGGCTTACAGTTTGGGGAACTTTGCAATTCCTAGATCTGCATTGTGGGCCTCTTCCTTTGTCGTTTCCCTTCTGGGGAATGTTTTAGGGAAAACGATGAATGTGATTTTTAGGTTATCTGTATATAGAGATCTATTGGGTGCTAAAACTCTCCATGAGAGAGGTTGACTAGCCTCAACAGAGTTTCCTGCACCATTATATCCAATCAGTGGCTGGCCACTACGTCAAAAAGACAATTTAGGTGTAGTTCCAGATGTTCTGGACTACAACTCCCATAATGCCATGAAAAATCAGAAATTGCCTTGGATTTATGGTGTTTTGCTCCATAAGGAGGGCACCAGTTTATTTCCTCTGACTCTCCCTGTATTTGATCTTCTCTCTTCCTTTTCTCTTTGGTGCTCCCTGTTGAGACCCTATTTATGTCTTCTGCTCTCATAAGAGATTTTTAATTTTATGGTGTGATTGGTTTTTTTTTTTTAACTCTGCATTCAGGAAAAAAAAGAAAAAGACTTTCGTTTCCTGACATAGCATTTGTGAACTGAAGTAAAATAAAAATGCTTAAGTTTGGTATGAAAATGTTGCAAATTGTCCCCAGAAATGAATGTGAATATTGATGGGTTTGATATTGACCATCACTCTAAATCATAGTTTGTTTAATGTATTAAATAAACCACAATTGGCCAGATTTGCATGATACAAAAAGCTGAGGCTGAATAAATCATCTTAAGGTTTACTGTGAGATTCTTTTTTTTAACCTTTAAAGCATTTCACATAAATGAGATGAGTCTCTTTTTACGAATCCTCTAAGGTCGTTCAGCATGATGAGATTTCTAGATAGAGACAGTATTTTCACCTGTGTTTCCTCTCCCACACAAGCTAAGTAGTAAAGCATATATTATGTATGTATGCCATGCCAATAATCCAAGTAAAATCTCCAAATGGTGGAAAACAACTTTGCTTAAATTGTGATCAGAACAGGTAAATACTGTGCTAATGAATAAATCAATGTCTCAATCAATTTTGGGGGCTTTCAGATATCTGGACTTCAGCTCCCAAAATTCTTAAACAATGCTGCCTAGGGAATTCTGGGGATTGAAGTCTATCAAACTTTTCAGTTTTTTCCATCCTATATCCCTTGGAGAGCTCTTCCAGAGATAAGGGTTCTCACCTCTCCCAATTTGAGAGTCAGATTAAGACCCCTTACTCTTCACTTAGACCAGTGTTTTACAAGCTTGACAACTTTTAAAGGTGTAGACTTCAACTCCCAAAATTTCCTGCTGGCAGGGGAATTCTGGGAATTGAAGTCCACACATCTTAAAAGTTGTCAATTCTGAAAAACACTGACGTAGGCCAGTGCAAATGGAATGTTTAAAGAGGGGTGTCAAACTTGATTTCATTGAGGGTCGTATCAGGGTTGGGTTTGATCTGGGAGGTGGGGTGGAGTAGGTGTGACCAGGGTAAGTGTGGCCAGCTCAACGTTACTTGTGTTGGGGACTGCCTGTGGGGGCCCGAGTGCTCTGCCAGAGAAAACGGGCTCCTGAGCTCCATTTTCACCTGCGACTGCCTCCTGCAACTCTCTGCCAGTGAAAATGGGCCTTGGGAGGGCTGTGTGTGGCCCTCTCGAACTCCATTTTTGCTAGCAGAGGCACAGTCCTTTACTGTTTCCAGGGCAGCCCACACAGGCCAGATCTGACCCCTGGGCCTTGAGTTTGATAACCCTGGTTTAAAGCAATAATACTCTTCCATTGCTCTTTGGGGGTTGCTCTTTGGGCGTGTGATTGGTTTTTCATATAATTGGGTGGTTCAGTCAAAAAATCCAGTGTTATAAATAAAAGAGTTGTGTTTTATTGTGAGAGGAATTCTGAAACATCAGCCTGCCTGGCCATCTTTTTTCTAAATCAAAAAGTACAGACCAAAAAAAAACCTCTGCATGGTCAGGAACTCTTTATTCACAGGTCCTATGGCTGAGTTTTCGCCTTCTGGCCACCCCAACACAGACTGGCCCTGTAGCCCGGTTAGAGTCTTGCTTGTCACTTAAATAGGAGGCACCAGTTAAAATCTGGGATCTTTCTTCAAAGCACTAGAGGAAAAGAGTTTCCAACGTTTCCTTTGTGAGAAGGCAAATTGAGGAGTGCCTAGCTGGCAGGCAGGCATGGAAAAAAAGTCTTCCTGTTTCCTTTGTAGCTAAAGTATAGCCTAAAGGCATCCTGATGTGCTTCCTCTCTGCAGCTAAATTGATCTGAGTGTAGCCAGGATTTGGGAAGAAAGAGAAAAGTGCTTTGAAACACTAGCACTCCTCACAAAGGAAGCTGAAATACCTCACAGGTATTTTTTTCTCAAGCAACAGTTGGGAGCATTCCAGCACCTATTGATTGTCAAACCTTGAGACGTTTTAATTTCAATATGCTAGCAAAATGGGAATCACTTCTGGCCCTTTTACAAAATTATTGGCTTACCAAATAGACTATAGTCTTAATTTTCACTATATCTCTCATCTCGTTCGGTTCTTCCTGTTCTTAATCTCACCTGGAGGGCTGATGGAGGAGTTAAAAAGCTCAGCAAGTGAAGCAGGATACTCACCATTTGGGAATTGAGGAAAATAAAACATAAACCTTGGCTCTGAGCTCCCATATCTGTAAACCCCAAATGATGGCTTCTTTGAGTACAGGGTAGCCTCATAACACATCTCCAACCAGTTCTGCGTAATTTGGAGATTCAGCAGGTAGGTGGTTATGGACGCTGCTGTCTCTGAGGATAACGTCTTCTTTTAAGATTTTCTTCCCTCTGAAGGATTGTGGGCATCCACAAAATTAAGTTTATTTTGATGTTTTGGCATTTGAGGAATAACCAACTGACCTGGGTTTCTCTTTGGCTAATTGTTGTGGTTTTGGGTTCTTCTATTGTTGTTTGTTTTTTTGGTTGATGTGATGTTTTGGAGGGTCATGTTGTATGCAGTTAAGTCATCTTATGCCCACAGTGGAGAAACACTACTTTTAAAAATATGTGTTGAATAAACAGACTCCAACACAATCATAGAGGAAAGTCATGCTGAAGTGGTCACAGCGCTCAAATTCCATTGTTGCTCGTACAATACAACTTAACAATAGAGTAACAAAATAATAAGGGACCTTGGAGGTCTTCTAGTCCAACTCCACTGCTCAAATAAAAGACCCTATACCACTTCAGACAAAGGGTTGTCCAATCTTTTCTTAAAAACCTCCCATGATAGAGCACCCACAACTTCTGAGGTCAAGTTATTCCACTGGTTAATTGTTCTATTTGTCAGGATATTCCTCCTTAGTTCCAGGTTGCTTCTCTCCTTGATTAGTTTCTATCCATTGCTTTTTGTCCTTCCCTCTGGTGCTTTGGAGAATAATTTGACCACCTCTTCTTTGTGGCAGCCCCTGAGATATTGGAACATGGTTATCATGTCACTCCAATCTTTCTTTTCACTAGTCTTTCTTTTCAATGTCATCCTTTTCGTTTTCAAAAACCCGCACCCCAATAACCGAATTGTTTCTTTTGAGGGATTCAGAAAAAGTTTGGGATGTCTTATTTTTTCAGCATGGCACTTTTAGTACAGATAGATTTTTACAGCCTTTCATCTTCTCAATGCTAAATTCATTCTATTTATTTTTACTACCTCCCTATCTTTCAGATCTACCTTTTACCTAATCTCAATTATTTAGTAGACTGGTATGAGAGGGAATATCACAGGAGTTTTATAAACTGAAGGTTCAAACAAACTTTTGTGTATTGTTATTATACACACAACAACGTCATTTCTTTAGCTGGTGTTGGCCTTCATATAAATTGAGTTCTTCCCAAGAATTTGGGATGTTGTAATGCATCAACGTAATATATGTGTGGATCCAAGCAATGTGGCCTTTTGCAATTGACAGATGGAAATTTTGTCAATGCACAGATTTTTCTAATGACCTTCTGAGAATTTTTGGTATGGCACCGAGCCAATAATCACTGGAATCACCACAGATGATCTGTTATTATTATAGTTGGCCACACAGCCAGATGTTTAGACTAGATCTGGCATTTTTATCCATCCATTGAGTCCTTCCCAGAGACCTGGACTAAGAAGATGCTGTTTAGTTTTATTATTATTGCTGTGTGTATAATAATTCAAGCCCTAACCAAGGACCTAAGAGTTATGAAGGCATCATCTAGTTCCAAGCAGGGTGGTTTTTAGTAAAATTAAGGTGTTCAGATCTGATTAATCTGATATTTCCAGATACTGAGGAAGGTCTCCCTCAAAGGATTCTATTCACAATAGAATGCTACAACAACGGTTTTCTTTTTCCATAAGCATTCAACTTCAATCTGCCAGTCCTGGTATTCCATAATTTTTTTTCCAGCCTTTTTTCTTAAGAAAGAAATCTTAAAAGATGATTGTTATTATTTCCCACTTTTGCTTTCTTTTCGCTAATTTCCTTTCCCACTTTTTGTTCCCGCTAATTTCCTTTCTCATTTCCCTGTACTAATTTTTCCCCTCTGTGCCAGCTTTTCTTTCCAGCCTCTGGTTCCTTTTGTTCAGTTCTTCGCTGCCGCCACCTCCCCCAGAATTTCCTTCTCTGACTCTGACTCATTCTCCCTTTTCTTCTCCTTGCCCTTACGGCCTCCTGGTTCTGCATTCCTGTCCCCTTAGTTCATACCAGCCTGTCCCGGACACCACCCAGTGACTCATCTGAAGGTGGCGGGGGCAGGGAGGGGGAGAGAAATCAGGGAAAATCAGAGGTGTTTCTCCCTCCTTGTGGCTGGTCAGTGGCTGCACTCCAGAACTTCACAGCACCTGAGTCCATCAGATTGAGCCAAATTAAACTTTCCACAACTTTTTTTTTTCTCCGTGGAATAACAGCCTGAAACAGTTCCAGGAAGTATTTAAACTAACCCAGGGCTTCCCAAACTTAATTAGCCAAAATGGGGTAATGGTGGATTTGATTTGGATAACAGCACAAGAACCGAATCACAACAGGAATGTTTAAATTGATTTAAAGCAGGAGTGGGTAACTATGTCCCCTTTACTACCTGTGGACTTCAACTCCCAGAATTCCTGAGCCAGCATGGAATTCTGGGAATTGAAGTCCAGAAGTTGTAAAGGGATTATAATTGCTTGCCACTATTTAAAGGGATTTAACTTACATTGGGTACAAAGGACTTTCTGATAAGCAGTTTAGGTAATGAAGGAAAATATTTGTGAGGCACTAATCTAAACTGAATCCAACTATAGGAAGAGGTGAGAAAGTCTTGGGCTATTCAAAGCTGTAACAATTGAATACTTACAGTACCGGTAGTCCTTGCTTGATGAACAATCACTCAGTGACAGCCATTGACTTTGACAGTCAAAGTTATGAGAATATCCTTCAAATATTCCCCCTCTCTCTCTCCTTCTCCCCCCTCCCTCCCATTCTCCCCCCCCTTCTCTCTCTCTCTCTCTCTCTCTCTCACACACACACACACACACACACACACACACACAGAGTCATGTGACTGCATTTTGGGTACCTAGCAACACTTTTACAGCCACTTGCCGTGTTCCACAGTAACATAACCATGATTTATGATATTTTACTTTTTGGGGGCAGTTTCCGGTTTCCAACCTTTTCTGACAGTTCCTGGCAAAAATACCCACAAGAAATGAATACAACCACTGCATTCACCTTAAAACTATCACATTTGTTTTAAAACAGCAGCATTTGCTTTATAACCGCTGTAAAAAAA